GCTGGAGCTGGCAAGGTCACAAAATCTGCCCAGGAGGTTAAAGGGATATTCTGTCCTATACCTGCACCACAGTCTTAGTCAGTGGTAGAAGAAGGGTCTCAGAACTGTTTGTCTCAATTGACCATTTAGGTGTAAAAGTAAAAGGCTAGTTAATGGTTACAGTGCATTGTAAAAGCTTCAGGAGAAAAGCAATGTTTTGTGGACCATTTATTTCATGGCAGTTTAAGTTATTAGTTTTTAAAATCAGTAATTTTTGAATGTAAAAGTTACAGAATTTTGAGACCATTGAAACAGTTTAATGTGAAAAGAATAGAGGCTTATTGATTGATGGATTGGATTGATTGTTACAAGGGATGGTCCAATTCTGGGTTGGGAAGGAGGAAATGATTATGATATTAAAAACAAAAGGCGTGAATCAAACTTATTTTTAAAAAGTGGAGACAAGAACTGAATTCCATATTCCCCTGAGAGTCCTAGCTCTTCTCACACTCATTCATCCCCTCAAGTGTTTGCTCTACCTTACCCTTTATTCCTGTCTCCACATATACAAAAGCCAGAATCTTCTCAACCCTCCTGTTTCTTGCCACCAGTGTTGTACCCATGAATATGCATTTCTCAGTAGCTTCCAGAGTAGAAATGGAATTGATTTTCAAAATCTGCCTAAAGACAATCTCTCTCTGAAACCAAACCCTAACATCTTTAGCATTGCTATCTCCACATGATGTTATACAGAACATGGACTGCCACAAATCTTAAGAATTAAAATTGTGGGTCCCTCAGAGAGCTACAGAGAAATTCAGGGGGACAGACTGAAAAGTTGGTCCAAAAAGTGTCACCAGAAAAGTTATGTAGCATAAGTGAGGCATAATGTGTGGGCAGCCTGCATCATGCATGGATACCAACATCATGCCAAGATGTTGCCAGAGAGGAAGTCCTGTTATTTTATGAAGAAGCATTATAAAGGTCATTGGATGAGGGGTGAGTTTAGGGAAAGAATACTAAGTGGGAGGGTTTGAGAGAAATTGAAGAGACTGTTTTTCCATCACAATTGCAGAAGACAGAAAAATGGTGGAGAGGCCTTTTGGGGGTAATTCCTTAAACCTTGATCTTCAATAAATCAATAAGCATTCACTATATGTTTACTATGAGCCAGGACCTGTGCTAATGCTGGTGATACAGGGAAAAAGCAAAAACAGTGTGAGCCCTCAAGGATATTGTAATGGGTAGACAAGACATAAAAATAAAAATATATTCATATAAATATATTTCTATGCAGTTTTACTCTTTCCATCAGAAATGCTTCAGAGTCTTTTATTCTATTAAAGATTCATTTTTCTCCTCCACTAGGATGTTGTTCACTTGTTTCAGTAATGTCTGACTCTTCACAACATCATTTGGGGTTTTCTTGGCAAAGATACTGGAGTGGTTTGCCATTTCCTCCTTCAGCTCATTTTTACAGTTGAAGAACTGAGGCAAAGAGGGTAAATGATTTGTTCAGGGTCACACAGCTGTAAGTGACTGAGACCAGACTTGAACTCATGAGGAGTCTTCCTGACTCCAAGTTAAGTACCCTACTCACTGCACTAAGTAGCTAGCCCTACCTAGAGCTAGGAGGCATCCTAAAGGTCACTTAGTCCCACTGATTTCACAGAGGAAGAAACTGGGGTATGGGGAGGGCAAGTGATTTGTCCAAGGTTACTCATCTAATAAAGGTCAAAGTTGGGATCTGAACTCATACCTTCTGATTTGAAATTAAATGATTTTTCTAACCAACTTCTTGTGTCTTAGGATATCCTTTTGGGATATCTTTGGGAAAAGTCTGTTCATCACAAATAACTTTTATTTTATCTTCTTGTTTCTTACAACTCAGAGATAACTTAATGAAGATATCTGGATTCAAGGCTATCTCATCCATGCATGGTTTTTAACTCCTGATTGGCACCGTCATCCAATGATGGGAAACATTCCCACCTTCTTACTGGGTTTCAAACATCCTGAAATGCTTTCCTAAGTTTGGGATTCTTCACCCTCCATGTACAGCCTATCAGAGAGAGAATATAAGCCCTAGGGACACTTACCAAGTAGTCGGGAAGAAGGTGAAAAGGGGAGCAGACATCACCAGCTGGAGTTTGCACCATTCCTGGATTCCACAGGCCAGAACCCCAATAAACAGTTGCCCCAGGCTAATGCATAGACCAAATGTGACTGCTAACAGGGGCTGGTACTGACTGGTAGTCCATTCCATGACTGGAAAGAAACCCCAGTACAGGATTAATTTCAGACACAGGCGAGATCTCAAAGAATATGTGCAAATATTGAAGAAGTCCCACAGAGAAGACTTACCCGGGGTCCCACCTCCCATTGTAGCTCCCGATATTGAAAACCCAAGCAGGAAGCGAAGACAGCAGTAAACTGGGAAGGATTGGGCAAAGGCAGGCACAGTGCTGGAGACAGTCACTATGAGGTAACTTGGAGGCAGTATCCATTTTCTCCCAAACCTACAGGAAACCTGATAACTGTGACCTCCGGGCAGCAGCATTATGTTGTCTCCCCACCCAGCAGCCCTCATTGTGCATTGTTTTGCATTGCTATTCCCCCATCCCTCGAATGCCTTCCCTCTCATCTCATCTCATCTCCTCCTCCTTAAGTTTCAGCTAAAATTCCACCTTTAGCAGGAAACCTTCCTCAGTCCTCCTTAACAGCAGGGCAGAGCCTTCCTCCTGAGCCTACCTCTCCCTCCCCATTTATTGTGTATGGCTCCTGAATGTGCAGAGTTGTTTGTATGTTGTCTCCCCCTCCCCCCCACTAAATGTGAGCTCCTTGAGGGCAGGGATGGTTTTTGTTTTGTTTCCTATCCCCAGCTCTTAGCCCAGTGCCCGGCATGTGGTAAGTGTTTAAGACATGCTCGTGCACTGATGGACCTTTGTCCCATGCTCAGCTCATCACCAACCTGCCTACTTTACTGGGATCTTTCCTGTCTTAGACCCACCTCCACCCACAGCTCCAAATCTAGCCCTAAATCTTCTCCCTGTTATTGTAGACTGGGATAGCATGGAAATAAAAAGAAAGTCCTTGGTTCAAATTCTGCTTTTGACTCTAGATGTGTGACCTTGGGCAAGTCTCTTTACTTCCCTGGGAGTTGGTTTCCTCCTTTGTCAAATGAGTGGGGGTGAACTAAATGATCTATAGTATCATCTTCCAACTTTAAGCTCTGTGGCCGTAGGCTCCCTTGGTTTCAGGAACATCTGTGTCCAGGTGAAACTCACCTGTCTGAGAGACAGCCCCACATGAGAAATCCTACCAGAATCCCAGCAAAGAATATTGACTGAGGCAAGGACTTCAGTGTCCAGGAGTCACACACCAGGTCCCACTGAAAAGGAAGATGAGAGCATCAGATCTTAAAGTGAGGAAAGAGAATTAGGGCTCTGGTCTCTTGCAGCCAATGGTATAATAGAACTATGATGGGAAGGAGGTTCTGGCTCAGACTTCTTGCCCCACTATAAGAAGAGGACACTGCCTCCCTTAAACTATCCTCCATCATACAGTCAAGCTTGGGGTGTCAAAATCAAACTCATTTTGACTCTGACCTTCCTGATGTAGTCATCCTTATCTTCCCCCATCTGATGTATATACCCTTACCCTCCCTTCCTGCTTTCTGTAAAATTCCATTCTACCCATAGTGCTTATGCATTTCATACTCTATATAAGGCTGCTAAAACTCTGAGCTTTCTCACTTTTTCCCATATAGATGAGCCTGTGCTTTGAGCATAAAAAAATCTGCAGAATAATGCTCTCTGCATTGTTGATTTGGTTTTTGGTAGTAGGACCTAATCAAGGGACCCCTCACTAATTTTTATCAAAGGGAACTATGCTCTGGAGGGATGGCAAAGGAGAGAAATCTGGTTCTGTCATTCACCAAAGGAATCAAGTTCCAAATCAGTGGTACCTTTTGAAAAGGAAAATGAAATCTTCCTGAGCTAAGACTGTGGCAGCAGAAGAACCTCTTACCTCAGTCACAATGGAAGAAGTGAAGACGCTTTGGTTATAAACCCAGCCATCCACACAAGGCTCCATCTCCAGCTGGCTCACGTTTTGTGCTGTGACATTTGGCCCCAAGGGCTGCCACTGTGGCCAGAAGAATCGGTGATACTTCTCTAGTTTCCCATTGGAATCCAGGGGGATGGAAAGCTTTAGGAGGGAACTAAAATTAAGGTTCCCACTGACATTGAGCAAAGCCGAGGTACTGTCAAGGAAGTGAACCCAGCACCGGTGCTCAGGGACAAAGGCAGTGAAGTTCTCTAGCAGAAAATGGCTAGCTATAAACATTAGAGAGATAGCCAAAGAAATGACCTGAAAGATCTAAAATCATCTCTTATTTCCAACTTCAAGTAGGAGATCGTCAAAGGCCATCAGGACTGGAATGCCTGCCCCAAGAAAAGAACGTCTTCAGAGAGCTACCAGGTGAAGAAAGTAATCATTTGGCTGCAACAAAACACAGGAGTTATTTTTTAGACAAGTGATGACATTTCCCCCAGAACCTTCCTCCTCACTTTGATGGAGCAATGTAGGTAGGCAGTGTTCTCAGGTCTGTGTGCAGTTGAGCATGCCAAAATACTTCTGACCATCCACAAAGAAAAAGTGGCACAGGTTTAGTGTCTAGCTGGAAGGATATATCAGCACCAAGACTGGGCACTTAAATACTCATTCTATGGGGAGCACCTATGTTGAGAGGATTCCTAGTAGATCTTCAACATGCATGTAAAGTCCAAGGTAAGGATAGGGAGACCCATAAAAAAAGTTCCAGACACTTCCAGGAAACAGAAATGTTTCCACTGTAAACCAGAGACAGAGCAGTGCCAGTTTTCTGTGTTAAGTATGACTAAGATAAAATTATAGAATGTGTTGTTTAAAAATCAACTTCGAGTTAAAGATGGATAGCTTTGACATGGCTGAGTTAGTTGAGAACCAGGTGGAATGTGCTGCAGGATGCATTGACTGATTCATGGAGGTTCATCTCCAGGGGCATTGAGAAGCAACATGGTGGCAAGAATGCTGTGGGGAGAGGTCCAGGGTAGACTGTGTTTGAGTTCCCTCTTTGAGTTCCCAAACACAGGTGAACTCCAAAGGTTAACCATGATCCCAGAGAACTAGTTCCCAATTCCATGTTTTCTATAGAGATATAGAAGGCATAGGGAACTTTGGGGTCAGAATGTTACTTAGGGTATCAGACTTGATTGTTTTGTCAGTTTTGCTGAACTCTTTTTCTATATTCTATGATTTCTGCCATGTTATGATATCTGTGGATAGATAGGCTTCTTGAGGGGCAGTTGTGGAAAGAACTCTCCTTTCCTTGGGACTTCCCTCAGCCTGGGTCTCCCTCTCTGAGATACCCTTAGGGCCAATGGTTTCTGCCTGGGCTCACTGGAAGTCACTGACCCTGGGACTTCTCATTCAGTCAAAGGACTTGACTGTACCTCAGAAAGGAGTGGCTGAATCTAGTTAGTTTAATACCACCTCCTTGGCTCCTTTGATATCATTAGGTCCTGGTCTTTCAAAAACCAACTGCCCTGCATGTAAGAGGCTGGGTTTGCTTGATGAATGAATTCAAAAAGACATTCTGACCTTGCTCAAATTTTGTGCCTGCAATTTGACCCTGATTTGAGTGCCTGACAATTTGACCATTCTGTGTTTGTCTCTGTGTGGTGCAGGTGAGCATCTGTGTGTAATCTGAAACCCTGTCAGGTTTAAAATGCAGCCAGCCAGCAAGAAAAGCCTCCAAGAGTTGTAGCCAGACTTTTCTTTGGAATGCCTCTTTTGCTCTCCCCCTCTCCTTCCCCCCCCCAATTGCAGCAGCCTCAGAGGAGTGGGAGGACCAGACAGAGAAAGAGAAAGAAAAATGCTTTATTATTTAGGTTATATGATTGATAAAAGTGAATAGAGGAGAGTAAGAGAAGTGTCAAGAAAGAAATACCATTTTAAAAGGGCTTTAATCAAAATCCACCAGAAGGATGAGTAGATAGAAGGAAAGGCAAGAAAGTTTTAGCATATGGAAATGAGAGGAACATGGGTAGAAAGAAAAGCATAATCTATTTGCATGAACAGTGTGAACAGAGGGTTTGAGAGTAAATAGTATGGAAACTTCTGGAAAAGAAAAAAAGTTGATTAAAAAACACACTCTCTCTCTTTCTCTTTCACCATTCAAACTCTGGTCAAGTTCTGAATGTGGACTGACAGACAAGGAAAAAAGAAAGGGGGAACAGTTTCCCCTCAGATCAAAAAGAGGTAGGTTGACTAATACTTAACCATTTCCTGCCTCACCTAAAGAGAGAGGTTTCTGTGTAATGTGACCTCTGAGTAGCTAGTCTCCTGCAAGATGGGAACAAATTTGGCTGACGAGATCTTAAACAGAGACACCTTAAAAATAAAGGCTTGAAGCATCGCCAGTACCAGAGAGAAGTCCACCATATTATTATCTACCAACTGGATTTTTTCCAGAGGTCCTGACTCACCTGTCTGGAAAGTTCAATGCCCCACTCTTAAGTCTTTAAGGGGTAGACATAGAAGTGAAGTTTATTTTGCGTAAAAATTTTTTAAAATTCTTAAGATTCTTTTCCCTGTGTTTCCTGGCTCTGACCAGCAAAGGCTACAGTGAAAAGTTAGAACAGCTAAACACACCATAGCAGATTCTGGAGGTTTTGAGATTGATCATTAAGGAGTTTTGAAACACCTCCTTGCAATCCCAATCACTCCCTTCCCCCACTCCCTTCCCCTGAGTCTAGAGGGCATCTCAGTTCTGTGATTGTAAACAGCCCCTATTTTCCTGTTAACCCCTCTTATCCCAGATAAGATTAAGTGAAGAGAGTACTGAAGAACTGCAGAAAATTTAATTCACCCCCTCCACCACCTGGCGAAAGGAAGGAGGGGGAAGGGTCAATCGCTACAGCAGAGCCCCACTGGCAATGGCCCTGGCCCCTGGGCACCACGTAGCAAGTCCAGAAAGCCTGGAAGTATCATCCAAGTTCAACACATCCTGCTCACACATACCCCCTCCCCCAGCAGTTGTGGGGTGAGAGGAAAGTAGTATGGGTCAAGGCAGTATGAGAGAAGACGCCAGCCAACCTCTGCACTTGGTAAGGCCACTCTTTTAAAGTTGTGGTTTTAACATGTTAATGATGAGATGCTGATTTTCGGTGTAAAGTAATTTGGAAATGCATTTGGAAATGCATTCAAAAGATTGAAGTCACCTGATTGGTAATGGGTTTGTTTCAAGTTTCAAACTGGTCAACTTTTGTATCAGTTATGCCAAGCAACTTTTCATAACTTGGATGTTATTAGAGTATGGGATGAGAGAAACTAAAAAGACAGTAGAAAAATCGTTTCCTTGCTAATGCTGTCTTATAATGTTTTGTAACTGCAATTTGGAAAACTTCATATTTTCACCTTAGCCTATAGTTAAGAGGAAGTTGCAGCTAAAAAAATTTGACTCTCACTTATGAAAATTATATATTTGGGTGATTTTAATGCGAAAACTGGTAATGTGTGTGTGTGTGTGGCAAGGAGGGGATGAGGTGAAAGCCTTATCCAGATTGGTTCTGCCCCCAGTCCTCATGGCTCGTCAAAAGGCACAGCCCACAGCAGCTCTAAAGGGAGATGGGGTGAATAGGAAGACCTTTCTCGGGGTTCCTTCTCAATCCCCCTTATTTTGTAAACTTGCTAAAGAGCTTGTTTGGGTTTGGGTTATGAATTTGGCTTGCTGGGAATTTGCGAGTATATGGAAATGATCTCTAATGATTGGTTTTTACACCAGGACAAATTTATTTTTAAGATGTAAGTCCTGGTAAAAATTTTCCTGAAGTTGTGATTATGAAACTTGCTGTTTGAGGTAAAAACTCTCGGGATAGGAACAGATATTATTTTGAGTTGCCTAATGGATCTGCAGAGCAGAAAGAATGATGACTCTGGAGTCAGGATACCTGGGTTCTGATCCTTCCTTTTATACTGGTGTGAACTTGTGGAAGTCGCTAAAAACTTCTCTATTTCTCTGTTTCCTCATCTGTAAAATGAAGGGCTGAACTTGATGGCCCAGTAGGATGATTGATGATCCTAATTTGGGGATTTATTATTATGTGATCGTATGTTTCCTACGCATGCTTATTTTCCATATTGATGCTGTATATTACAGTTGCTGAAAGGGTTCCCCAGGTTTATGGGGACAACGATTTACTGAAACTTTCTCATTGTGCTCTTCCATTGAAGGCCTTTGCTTTGGTTTATGTTCATTGGCTGGAGAGTTAAGACAACCACACCAGTGGGGACTCATAAGCTATTGTTTTGAGAGGATGTAACTCCACAGAAAGAACACCATGCTTCTGTATTATTTTCCCCTCCTCCTTGCAGAAAGACAGAAGGCTGAAGCTTCAGCTTGGACAGGGGGCATGTTTCTTTCAGCTCCTGCTTGAATTTGGTCCTATTGAAATTTAAAATGTAGGCACCGGGGGTGGTCCTGTTTGGTACCCCACATATGAGTTAGGAAAATTCCCCTAGGAGCTACATATAGATGAAGAAACTGAGGCCTGAGAGATTAAGGGACTTACCCACAATGACTGAGCCAGGATGTGACTGAGGAAGGATTCAAACTCATGTCTCCTGAATACTAAAATGTAGTGGTCTGTCTACATGGCCAACAGAGGCTGGCTTCTGTGCCTACCTTGTGCTCCTATAATTTAGTAGAGCACAAATCATTGAACTCATTTCATATAAATTTTATTAAGATTCTTTTTCTAAGTTTGCCATATGTGAGTGGGTGACCCTTGGTAGCCTCAGCCACAGTCAAGGCTACTCTGAGGTTGGAGGGAGGCAGGAAGAAGCACTTATTAAGGACCTACTGTGTGGCAAGCACTGTGGTAAGTGCTTTACAAGTATAATCTCATTTAATCTTTATTATTTAATTGTCTCATTTGACCATTTTACATTGTCTCCTTACTGAATGGCAGGGCTAGGGGTTAAACCACTGCGTAAAAAAAGAAATGAGGAGAAAAAAAGCAGAAAGATCAGTCAGGAAGGGACACGGAGAATGGTGTTTGAGACAGGAGAGGAGAAGGGTAGGGGGCTGCAGGGACCCTGTTAAATCAGAGAGAAGGAGAGAGACTCCCCCTCCCCCTCCACCACTAGGGTATCCTTACACCTTCCCACAGTTCAGGTACCTGGTCCCCCACTCAGGTTTCTCTCTCTGACACAGCTAGGTAGACCCAAAGATTGGTAACTTCAACAGGGAAGTTCACTATGACCTGAAATGACCCTCAATCACTGGGTCCCTATTCTTGTCAAGGATAGATTAAAGCACTCTTGCCCCCCCCAATCCCTTACTTATTCCTTTGCCTACTGAATCTTGGAGGAGCACCATCAGAGATGAGACTTGCCCTCTTGGTAGACCTCTGGCTACTGGGCTTGACTTGAAAAGCCACCATCTCCCACATCCCAGCCAGGGCTCCTCTTTCCTCTCTCACCTTTACTCCATTGATTTTTGCAACTTTTTGGACATTTTTAAGGCATCATCATATTTGTTGTGGGTAATCGGTCATTCAACAGACTGTCAACCACCTAATTAAGTAGTGCATGACAGATATAGTTGATTCTTCATTGCCTATTCATCCAAAATCACATTTCTTGTGTGTAGCAGAGCTCGGGTTCTTCTTATTAACTCTACATCTAATTACTTTGTATTATTTAACAAGCAATAGAAAGTTCATGTGTACAAGCTTTCTTCCCCAATTATCCTATGTCACACCTGTGACAAGATGGCCACAGTTACTGATCAGCTGTGACCCTTATTGCTTTTTCCCCTTTGAAAAAAGTCTTTAAATGAGTCAGGTCACGTTTTTGCTTTTAGCTCAAATCTGTCTTCCCTAACAGACGTTCAAATAGACCTGTCAGGAAAAACTTCTACAATTGTCAATAGATTAGACAGCATTTAAATCACCCTTTCATTCCTTGAAACTCTAAGTGGGAGCAAATTTACTTCTCCTCCTCTTTCCCATGGGAGTAATCATCTC